TAGCCCAGTAAAATCTCAAAATGAATGTGTCACTCCATTATTAGCCCAGTAAGATCTCAAAATGAATGTGGTCACTTCACTGTAAGTCCACTAAAATATCAAAATGAATGTGTCTCTTCATTATTAGCCCAGTAAAATATTAAAATGAATGTGTCACTCCATTATTAGCCCAGTAAGATCTCAAAATGAATGTGTCACTTCACTGTAAGTCCACTAAAATATCAAAATGAATGTGTCACTTCATTATTAGCCCAGTGAAATATTAAACTTATTGTGTGATTTCACTATCAACACTCAAAAATATCAAAATCAATGTATCACTATATTTACATTTACATTTATATCAAAATCTATGTGTGATTTCACAATCGACATTCTAAATATCAAAATGAATGTGTCACTTCACTATCAGCTCAGTAAAATATTAAAATGAATGTGTCTCTTCATTTTTAGCCCCTTAAAATATTAAAATGAATGTGTCACTCCATTATTAGCCCAGTAAAATATCAAAATGAATGTTTCACTTCAATGTAACCCAGTAAAATTTTACAATGAATATGTCACTTCACTGTCAGCCCAGTAAAATATTAAAATGAATGTGTCACTCCATTATTAGCCCAGTAAAATATTAAGATGAATGGGTCACTCCATTATTAGCCCAGTAAAATATTAAAATGAATGTGTCACTTCACTGTCAGCCCAGTAAAATATCAAAATGAATGTTTCACTTCACAGTCAGCCTTATTAAATATTACAATGAATGTGTCATTTCACTGTCAGCCCAGTAGAACATCAAAATAAATGTTTCACTTCACTGTCAGTCCACTTAAATATCAAAATGAATGTGTCACTTCATTGTCAGTCCACTTAAATATCAAAATGAATGTGTCACTTCATTGTCAGTCCACTTAAATATCAAAATGAATGTGTGACTTCATTGTCAGCCTAGTAAAATATAAAAATGAATGTGTAAGTTCATTGTCAGTCCAGTAAAATATTAAAATGAATGTGTAACTTCACTGTCAGTATACTAAAATATAAAAATGAATATGTCACTCCATTATTAGCCCAGTAAAATATTAAAATGAATGTGTCACTCCATTATTAGCCCAGTAAAATATCAAAATGAATGTTTCACTTTACTGTCAGCCTTATTAAATATTACAATGAATGTGTCATTTCACTGTCAGCCTAGTAGAACATTAAAATAAATGTGTCACTTCACTGTCAATTTAATGGATACCAAATGTGTCACTTCACTATCAACCCACCAAAATGTTTAAATGGATGTTGCTTGTTACTTATCTACTAAGGCAATGAAATATCAACGCATTGAAAAGCACAATGTATGACTCATCACAATAACAATCCACAGACAAATCTATCAATATAAACAGAGAGAAGTCACTCACTTCACAATCAACTTTTGAAATAGAGCTATTCATAACACTATCAGTTCAGATTAACTCATTTGAATTACAATCCATTAAAAACCCTAAACAATCACTCAATACACTATCAAACATTAACATAAAGGAGCTCACTATACCATCATTTTTAGATAGAGTGACCCATACGCCTCACACTACCAATATATATATTACTGTGACTCACAACATTATCAATCTAAATCTACTTAAACATAAAGTAACTTACTACAGTACCCAACCTGTAAATCTACTTAAACATAAAGTAACTTACTACACTACCCAACCTGTAAATCTACTTAAACATAAAGTAACTTACTACCGAACCTGTAAATCTACTTAAACATAAAGTAACTTACTACAGTACCCAACCTGTAAATCTACTTAAACATAAAGTAACTTACTACACTACCCAACCTGTAAATCTACTTAAACATAAAGTAACTTACTACAGTACCCAACCTGTAAATCTACTTAAACATAAAGTAACTTACTACACTACCCAACCTGTAAATCTACTTAAACATAAAGTAACTTACTACACTACCCAACCTGTAAATCTACTTAAACATAAAGTAACTTACTACTACCCAACCTGTAAATCTACTTAAACATAAAGTAACTTACTACCTGTAAACTACCCAACCTGTAAATCTACTTAAACATAAAGTAACTTACTACACTACCCAACCTGTAAATCTACTTAAACATAAAGTAACTTACTACCCAACCTGTAAATCTACTTAAACATAAAGTAACTTACTACCCAACCTGTAAATCTACTTAAACATAAAGTAACTTACTACAGTACCCAACCTGTAAATCTACTTAAACATAAAGTAACTTACTACAGTACCCAACCTGTAAATCTACTTAAACATAAAGTAACTTACTACCCAACCTGTAAATCTACTTAAACATAAAGTAACTTACTACCCAACCTGTCAATCTACTTAAACATAAAGTAACTTACTACACTACCCAACCTGTAAATCTAAACATTACTAAATAACCTGTAAATCTACTTAAACATAAAGTAAACTTACTACACTACCCAACCTGTAAATCTACTTAAACATAAAGTAACTTACTACACTACCCAACCTGTAAATATACTTAAACATAAAGTAACTTAAACATAGTAACTTACTACACTACCCAACCTGTAAATCTACTTAAACATAAAGTAACTTACTACCCAACCTGTAAATCTACTTAAACATAAAGTAACTTACTACACTACCCAACCTGTAAATCTACTTAAACATAAAGTAACTTACTACACTACCCAACCTGTAAATCTACTTAAACATAAAGTAACTTACTACACTACCCAACCTGTAAATCTACTTAAACATAAAGTAACTTACTACACTACCCAACCTGTAAATCTACTTAAACATAAAGTAACTTACTACCCAACCTGTAAATCTACTTAAACATAAAGTAACTTACTACAGTACCCAACCTGTAAATCTACTTAAACATAAAGTAACTTACTACACTACCCAACCTGTAAATCTACTTAAACATAAAGTAACTTACTACCCAACCTGTAAATCTACTTAAACATAAAGTAACTTACTACAGTTCCCAACCTGTAAATCTACTAAAACATAAAGTAACTTACTACAGTCCCAACCTGTAAATCTACTTAAACATAAAGTAACTTACTACCCAACCTGTAAATCTACTTAAACATAAAGTAACTTACTACACTACCCAACCTGTAAATCTACTTAAACATAAAGTAACTTACTACACTACCCAACCTGTAAATCTACTTAAACATAAAGTAACTTACTACAATACCCAACCTGTAAATCTACTTAAACATAAAGTAACTTACTACCCAACCTGTAAATCTACTTAAACATAAAGTAACTTACTACCCAACCTGTAAATCTACTTAAACATAAAGTAACTTACTACCCAACCTGTAAATCTACTTAAACATAAAGTACCTTACTACCCAACCTGTAATTCTACTTAAACATAAAGTAACTTACTACAGTACCCAACCTGTAAATCTACTTAAACATAAAGTAACTTACTACCCAACCTGTAAATCTACTTAAACATAAAGTAACTTACTACCCAACCTGTAAATCTACTTAAACATAAAGTAACTGTAACTTACTACCGAACCTGTAAATCTACTTAAACATAAAGTAACTTACTACCCAACCTGTAAATCTACTTAAACATAAAGTAACTTACTACCGAACCTGTAAATCTACTTAAACATAAAGTAACTTACTACCCAACCTGTAAATCTACTTAAACATAAAGTAACTTACTACCCAACCTGTAAATCTACTTAAACATAAAGTAACTTACTACACTACCCAACCTGTAAATCTACTTAAACATAAAGTAACTTACTACCCAACCTGTAAATCTACTTAAACATAAAGTAACTTACTACACTACCCAACCTGTAAATCTACTTAAACATAAAGTAACTTACTACCCAACCTGTAAATCTACTTAAACATAAAGTAACTTACTACACTACCCAACCTGTAAATCTACTTAAACATAAAGTAACTTACTACCCAACCTGTAAATCTACTTAAACATAAAGTATCTACTTAAACTACACTACCCAACCTGTAAATCTACTTAAACATAAAGTAACTTACTACACTACCCAACCTGTAAATCTACTTAAACATAAAGTAACTTACTACACTACCCAACCTGTAAATCTACTTAAACATAAAGTAACTTACTACACTACCCAACCTGTAAATCTACTTAAACATAAAGTAACTTACTACACTACCCAACCTGTAAATCTACTTAAACATAAAGTAACTTACTACACTACCCAACCTGTAAATCTACTTAAACATAAAGTAACTCTACTTAAACATAAAGTAACTTACTACCCAACCTGTAAATCTACTTAAACATAAAGTAACTTACTACCGAACCTGTAAATCTACTTAAACATAAAGTACCTTACTACCCAACCTGTAAATCTACTTAAACATAAAGTAACTTACTACACTACCCAACCTGTAAATCTACTTAAACATAAAGTAACTTACTACACTACCCAACCTGTAAATCTACTTAAACATAAAGTAACTTACTACCCAACCTGTAAATCTACTTAAACATAAAGTAACTTACTACACTACCCAACCTGTAAATCTACTTAAACATAAACTAACTTACTACATTGCCTAACCTGTGCCTTACAAATCTACTTAAAGCATCAGCGAGGAAACCCACTTATTTTTTTCAAAGCATTGGCAAAAAAAACATCGAATCCAGAACAAGTTGTGTACGTTAATATCAACTCCATGGAAAATAAGTAAATTCCATTTAGAGAACATGTTTCATAAAAATAATTTCAACTAGTAAACAACATGTTTGAAAATGATGTTTTATAAATGTAAAGTGGTACATGATGTTCAGAATGTGTTGCAATGTCACTTTGACCGAGCCGGACGGTCCGTGTTCGTCGGTTGGCCTTCGTTAACACCAGCTACTACAATCCAGGTGATAATGTGTTCACACATTGGGTAATCGTAACCTTTCGACACCAGCTGATTAAATATAATGTATTTATATGCCAGCGGTATCAGGTAAGTACCTTCAGATGTGACATTGAGGGTTCTATCGGACACCACGGTTTAACCAATGACAGACAGCGGCCAGGGTATGTGTCGTATCAAGTACCTCGGACACCGCGCACGGCACAGCAGGAAGTGGGCCGCTTTGTGGCAATTACGCAGCGCGGAGTGACAGGAAACTAACACCTATGACAGAGCAGGACAAAATATCCCTCATCCGGGTACTCAGACCTGGTCTAATTCCCTGGCCTGTCTCCGATCGGGCATGTTACAGATGACTAACATCAAAGCATAACACAGTTATTGAAGGGTCGACAACGGGTAAATGTGAAATGTATATCGTTATTCTACAAGTTTGTACTGAAATTACAACCAAATACGTAAAAAAATATTCATTATTGTCGGGTCACCGCGGACATTTGCGGACATCTCCGGACAGTAGAACATATCAGAACACTGATAAATGAACAAAATCGGGGTTAAAATGTTTCTTCATAGTTGCTTGGTTATTCGTTCATGACATGGTATCATTCCGTGACATATCATACAGAGTAAATAACCCAACTGACCAACGGACAATATAACAATTACAACTGATTTCAGAAATCAGCTTGAAACAAGAACAGTACATTTCTTTTACGAGAAGATAACAATATAATTCAAATGTTGCGGAAAGTGATAAAAAAAAAAAAAAAAAAAAACCGCGAAGACAAAAGTAAAAAAAAAAGAAAAATATATGATAACCTTAATGTGTTATATAGGTAATGATTATTAACTGAAAATTAAATAGAAACAGTCATAAATGAGAGCACGGTAAAATACTTACTGTGTTTTGTTACAGCGACTATCCTACAGCATTGATGTCCCCATCAACTGTTCACTGTGACGTGTACATCCTTGTTCACTTTTAACAGTGATGGTGCAAATCGAAATATCTCAAAATAAAACATTAAGCATACGTAGAGCTGATTGGTAACGTATTTCCTCCCGCAGTCATTAGAATACCGGACAACCATTATTAGATCAGTCCAAACACAGGAAACGACCCACCGGTACTGCAACGTAACCAGTAAATGGTACACTAAGCCTAAATGACATTAAGGTGCAAAGTTGTACACCTCGCAGTCAAAACACAAGAAAGCAGTCAGAGTAAATGAAATTTTACAAGCCAAAGTAGCCAAACAGGATTAACCGTTAACTGATTTAAAATGAAAAACAAATCTACAACATATTTGGAATTTTAATGATTGTTATAAAGGCTCTCAGAAGAACTTTTAATGGTTTTCTGTAGGGTTGGATTAGTTTTACACACGCTAAGCTTATTATTTGTAAACTAAGTTAGGTAATGCGATGAGAGTACACCACAGACAATACTTCACTACACTTAATGTATCCAGGCCTTCATTGCCCACACAACACCCACACCGACAGGTAGAAATTCATTATTTGCGCCTTGTCAAGTTGAAACAAATAATCTTAAGCAGATATTTGAAGAGATATATAGAATTAACACCCTTATCTTTGTACGGCTTTTTTCGTCTCGAATTTCAAAGGTGAGTGGTTTCATTCAAAATAGGTACGAACATCTAGAATCTTTTGTTAGGTAATCAGATAACTGGACATTTGACAGAGGACAATAAAGTCTCTATGTACACTGGATTTGTCGTAAAGTGTAAGCTGTAGAACTTGCTATCTTGACTTACTGTCAGAGTCGATTTATGTTAAAGATATCTGCATTTATCGACCGTTTGATGACAAGTCCATTTTCTGTATTTCAACTTTGTAGAGTAATTTTCTCATAAATTAGACTCATTGTGGCGGCGTATATCTACCGGAGCTCACACAGATAACGCTATCATTGCTTTGTTGACGTTTACAACTTAATTAAATTATGCTGAATCGTGTTTTGATTGTTGTGATATTGCCTTGTGATATTCAGTTTTAGATTAAGCGATTCTCTTAGCTTGCTTGTGATCTTGACAAATTAAATACCAGAAGTAGTGATGAGATACAAGCTATTACAGCGATCTACAGATCTCAACGAATGTCTTCAAACATCCGTCAAATTAAATACAACTCCTGCTTTGATTTGGTAAAATAAATCTTAAATTTCCGCTTTCAAAGCGTATCGAGTTCTAACCAAAGATAAAACATATGTTTGTACCCATATCTGTGTTGTACGATTACGTACTAGGTATGTAACGTGTGACAAAACGGGACTGAATCAGGTAAGTTTGTCACCCGCTGTCCTAGAGATGTTGATTTACGTACCCGTAAATCATCAGCCTAGCATTGAATCACTGCATTTCTCTTGTTTTCAGTTCTTACTGTAGCTGAGATCACTAATACTATCCCAACACCTCACACCCGCAATGTTTAACAAAGGTGTTTCCAAGTAACACATGTCAACACCCGATCATTTCCCACCAGATTCCAACATTATACCATATGTCTCGGACATCAACATAAAAAAAACAATTTAAACTATAATATTACATCGTTGTATATAACATGAATAACTTTAAAGGCAGTCTCAAGTTTTGAATAGAAATTTTGAGGTCGGTAAACTCAGAAAAATGTCACGATAACTCAGAAGTCGGTAACTCGGAAGTCGATAACTCGGAAGTCGATAAACTTGGAAGGCGATACCTTGGATGTCGATAACTAGAAAGTCGATAACTCGGGAGTAGATAGCTCGGAAGTAGATAACTCGGAAATCGATAACTTGGAAGTCGATAACTCGGAAGTGGATAACTAGGAAGTCGATAACTAGGAAGTCGATAAATCGGAAGTCGATAACTCGGAAGTCGGTAACTCGGAAGTCGATAACTTGAAAGTCGATAACTTGAAAGTCGATAACTCGGAAGTCGATAACTCGGAAGTGGATAACTCGGAAGTCGATAACTCGGAAGTGGATAACTCGGAATTCGATAACTAGGAAGTCGATAACTCGGAATTCGATAACTTGGAAATCGATAAATTGGAAGTCGATAACTCGGAAGTCGATAACACGGAAGTCGATAAACTTGGAAGTCGATAACTTGGAAGTCGATAAACTTGGAAGGCGATACCTTGGATGTCGATAACTAGAAAGTCGATAACTCGGGAGTAGATAGCTCGGAAGACGATAACTCGGAAGTCGATAGCTCGGATCGGAATTCGATAGCTCGGAAGACGATAACTCGGAAGTCGGTAACTCGGAAGTCGATAACTCGGAAGTCGATAAACTTGGAAGGCGATACCTTGGATGTCGATAACTAGAAAGTCGATAACTCGGGAGTAGATAGCTCGGAAGACGATAACTCGGAAGTCGATAGCTCGGATCGGAATTCGATAGCTCGGAAGACGATAACTCGGAAGTCGGTAACTCGGAAGTCGATAACTCGGAAGTCGATAACTTGAAAGTCGATAACTCGGAAGTTGATAACTCGGAAATCGATAACTTGGAAATCGATAAATTGGAAGTAGATAACTCGGAAGTCGATAACTCGGAAATCGATAACTCGGAAGTCGATAACTCGGAATTCGATAACTCGGAAGTCGATAACTCGGAAGTCGATAACTCGGAAATCGATAACTTGGAAATCGATAAATTGGAAGTAGATAACTCGGAAGTCGATAACTCGGAAGTCGATAACTCGGAAGTCGATAACTTGGAAGTCGATAAATTGGAAGTAGATAACTCGGAAGTCGATAACTCGGAAGTCGATAACTCGGAAATCGATAACTTGGAAATCGATAAATTGGAAGTAGATAACTCGGAAGTCGATAACTCGGAAATCGATAACTCGGAAGTCGATAACTCGGAAATCGATAACTCGGAAGTCGATAACTCGGAAGTTGATAACTCGGAAGTCGATAACTTGGAAATCGATAAATTGGAAGTAGATAACTCGGAAGTCGATAACTCGGAAGTCGATAACTCGGAAATCGATAACTTGGAAATCGATAAATTGGAAGTAGATAACTCGGAAATCGATAACTCGGAAGTCGATAACTCGGAAATCGATAACTCGGAAGTCGATAACTCGGAAGTCGATAACTCGGAAATCGATAACTTGGAAATCGATAAATTGGAAGTAGATAACTCGGAAGTCGATAACTCGGAAGTCGATAACTCGGAAATCGATAACTCGGAAATCGATAAATTGGATGTCGATAACTAGGAAGTCGATAACTCGGAAGTCGATAACTCGGAAGTCGATAACTTGGAAGTCGATAACTCGGAAGTGGATAACTAGGAAGTCGATAACTCGGAAGTCGATAACTTGAAGGTCGATAACTCAGAAGGCGATCATTTTTATTGAAGACAAACATCATGAAATTGATTTAAATGTAATAGAAATTGTTGTGATTTTTATTTGAAAGTTGATCAATACCAGACAAATGTCACGATATATATATTTGTGTGGTTTTACAGTAGTCCCGAACAGTTTTTATCATTTTTGGTTAAGGATCAACAAAGCAATCTAAAAAAACATCAAGAAAATAGCAACATGTCAACAATATCATAATTCAAACTCAAATTCAATTGAACTATGGCATAAACAACAAGAAAATACCAACATGTCAACAAAATCATAATTCAACTCAAACTAAAAAAACTAGAATAATATATAGAAATAAACAAACAAAAAAGATTTGCACGGATATTCTAGAAAAAAAGTAGTAGAAAATTAAGACCAGGTGTTCCGGAAGAGCAAGCGTCTTCTGCTTTATCGACGACACTCCGACAAATGTCATGATTTTTATCTAAAGGTCAATAACTCTCCGACAAACGTCATGACTTTTATCCAAAGGTCAATCATTCTCCGAAAAATGTCATGACTTTCGTATAACGGTCAACCCACTCCAGTCAAATGTTATGTCGTTCAAGTTGATAAAACTCACACAAAAGCTACTACTTTCATTATATTTATATCACCGTTCGGTAAGTAAACATATCCTATTGCTTAGCTTTATACGCCTACAAATGTAGATGATCTAATAATTAGGAATTTTAAGGATAGATTTAACATGATGAATTACCACCCACCCTTTTTATATATTCATGGCATGATTTACAGTTTTGGAATTTCGATGCCTGTCATACGATGTATTGTGTAAATTGACCTATCCTACCATCGAATAAAAGTGACATCCTTAACTGGATTCGATACAGTTATACGGACAGGTACAACAATGTGGTACTCTCTCTCACTCCCCCCCCCCCTTCTCTGTCTCTCTCTCTCTCTCGCTCCCTACCCCCTTCTCTCACTCTCCCCCTTCTCTCCCTCTTTCTCTCCTACTCTCCCTCCCCTCTCTCACTCCCTCTCTCGCTCCCAACCTCTCTTCTCTCTCCCTCCCTCTCTCGCTCTCTCTCTCCCTTCTCTCCTTCTCTCTCTCCTCTCTCTCTCTTTCTATCTCCTACTCTTCCACCCCCTCTCTCTCTCCCTCCCTCCCCCTCTCTCTCTCCCCCCCCTTCTCTCTCTTCTCCCCTCCCCCTCTCTCGCTCCCTCTCTTGCTCCCTCTCTCGCTCCCTAATCCTTCGCTCTCTCTCCCCCTTCTCTCCTTCTTTCTCTCCTCTCTCTCTCTTTCTCTCTCCTACTCTTCCCCCTCTCTCTCCCTCTCTCTCTCCTCCGTAATTTTGTATTCAAACTTCAAACATGTCGTTCCGTCTTGGCAATATGGGATTTTGTCAAACTTTATTAGGGAAAAGGCTTAACATAAGTTAGGCCCAACTTCATTGTATTAGTTATTTTGTAACAGTCAATGATCGTGTAGAATTCAGGCATTTTCTTGCAGTGTCTTTGTAAACGTTGCTGTTTAAGTACAACAAATCTGATATATAGGCTGCATTCCACCTGTATATAACATCAAAGACAATTTGTCGCATCCATTGATATCGGTTAAAACATCAGTAGATGATAGGACACTGGGAGAGTCCGTATACCACTTTTATTTTTGGCGAAATATAGCATAGTCTCATTCGGCTTAATTACACAAAAAGTTAACAAACTGTGTGAATACAACTTCAGGTAACCTGACCTTGTTATTATGTAATATTGCAGCCCATAGCCTGTTTATATATATATATGTCTTGTCTCTTATTTTAAACCACAAAGTTCGACAACACGTCTGAGGTTTTCAAGCTAATATATTATTTTTCAATAACAAAATAGCAGAATGAAACACAGTGTACGGTTATCTCTTTCCGATATATATTGTGTATAAATGTAGCGTTTTGTTGTAATGGGGTTAACTGTTGTTAATGATATCTGTTGTAGAATATTTTTTGACGTGGATGTACAAATATCCTCCCAATGATAAGGAGGATCGAGGCTGTAATTTTGTATGTTATTCGCATCAAAAATTAAAACAAAGCATTCTTTGTATATTGTTTGATTTTAACATGCGAAGATCACCTTCATACCATCTAATTTTTGTACATGTCGCTAATTTTTGTCGCTGCTGTTCGCAAAACTTATATAATTCAATTGAAATGAAAGCGAATATTGGTCTTTTTGAATATTTCGTCAGAGATGTATTTGTTGCGGAGAGACATCCCCTACTTAACTTTCCTGATAAATGAAAACAAACGTAAATATGAAACAGTCCTGATGATGAGGATGACATCTATTATATATCGTAACATACTACCGCGTACCCATGGCAATCAGAACCGTGATTATGTCGGGGTTTTGTAATACGCCATATCACCGTGAACGCCCGTAATGCAGCATTTCCTCTGTGAACACAATCAGGATGATTTCACATTCATCGGTACGTTAAAGAACCATGAGATGCCTATATTGTAATAACGTAATGTTTAGCGAAGAGAAAGGAAGTATGATTGGGTGCCGAGCGGTACAGGGTACAGGTATACCGGGTGACCGTTAGATATGTCAAGACACTGTCTTTCACCACACATCACACGGAGTGACGCTGGTCTTGGCGCTAACGCGAGGCGACATGTAAACAAAGGCCGAGGTTAAAACGGAGCGTTCATTTAATCAACTAGTTTGATCTGCTCAAATGCCTCGACCCGATGTAAGGTAGCAAAATTATCCGGAAATTTTAAAAGCCACTATTTCTGCATATATTATAACGCATTTCGTTATGTAACCTAAGCCGACAACGGGCTGCTCGTAAATCAAGCCCTCCGATCGTTATCACGCGCTATATGACATTGCATGTCTCGCGTAGTGCGAGATCTGGTGACCTTCGCCCGCACGAGGCCTAGACGCTACGTAATGTACATAGAGAGTAATGAACCGAATTAATGTTTATTGTTGACCAATTACCCTCCGTACATATTTCATTGACTACGATGAAATATGATTTGGTAGCGGCGCTGGGACAGCGGTAATGGTAGGCCTACTTTTAGTGGGTAGATTTTAGGGAGCATTCGGTGTGTTACGGCGGGTATCTGTGAGAGCATTCATTACACCAGTCGGTGTGCTATGCGTGATATAGGCTCTGTATGAATCAACTGGTAAACAAAAGCACATTAAGATATGTCTATAGCTGTTCTGTGTTTTCCCCCGATCCGTTGTAATAAATTACATTTATTGTCGGCGTGAAAGATATACACACTGTGTACATCAAGCTTAATTATAATTATAACAGTGTACATGATGTATGTAAACCGCACCAAATTGTCTCACGGCCGTGCAGTCCGCAAACGGCTAACGTAATTATCAACACTGATGGCACCCGAATGGTAGCCTTTGAAAACACAGCCTTTTTCTAAATCGCCTTTCTGTTTCTTGGAAATGTAACAGCTTAATTATAAATATTTAGATGCATGAGGTGTGCAATTGCTATGGTGTGTGAGGTGTGCAATGTTGTTTATCTGTATGTTTAAAATGCTTTGAAAAATAAAATAAATATTTAAAAAAAAAAAATACACTTGCTACATGAGTAATGTCGAAATGTCAAAAAATTATACAAACTTTCAGATATTGTTTTAGTCAAAGGGAATCCCAGCCTCGAGTTAGTGTAAGTCATTTCATTGTTACTGTTGAGAGTTACCGATGGGCTCTCTCTTCTTCGTGTCGGATATAGCTAATGGGTTGGTTGGGACTTCAGGCAGGAAAGATACGATATACACGGACGAATAAAACATTTACACACAAACAATCAACTTTGATGTACATTTACGCAAAAAATACCATGATTTTCATTCAGTTGAAATTTGCAAATAGTCGTTTGATTAATTTTTCTTTGAATTTCTAAATAACATTTTTGAATTTATCCTTCATTGAAGTGTTGTGCTATTTCACCATCGAATTGATGGGTTTTTTTTATACGCAAATAGCCATAAGGAAGCGTGAACTAACAGCATACTTTTTAGATCAGGTGGTAATGCTTCAGATACTTTTAACTGTACAAAGACTGTGATTGCCTGATTTCTTGTAAATCTTAAAAAAGAAAAATAAAGCTGAAAGAATGAAAAACTGTGTTTTCCCACAATTTACAAAGTATCGATAAAAAGCAAGCTTGATTTAGCATTACACACAAACTTCGTTGGAAGGGAGATCACTCTGATTCATGTGTGATCTTACATTCGATCAACGGACAGCAAATTGAGAATAGCTGTCTTCTTAAATATTTACTGAATTTTTTCGAGAGTTTAATTCTGCGGTTTAGTAGTTTTGTCGCTGATGCCATATTTGTTTTCATCCATGTCTACTGACTGAAAGTCAAGCTCGTGATCTAGGTGTGGTATGAATACGTAACTACGGCTACTATTCTGACCTTAGCTTCATAAACATCAGCTCAAACTTATAGTGGTCAGTTGCTTCCGATATATTTCTTCTTTGTCAATTTGCCATAACTGATGTGGTCATTTATATATCACGGATAAGATTTAGGTCAAACAGTATCGGCCTACTTTTGCAAAGTCAGCGTCCTAAACTTAACTACACTGCGTAATTGTGTTTCCACGTAGAAAATGTTTCCCGTAGTCCCCATGGACAGCAGCTTTGTTCATATTAGCAGAGAAAATTATTGAACGCGGAAAGGGATCGTCAAGCGTTTTCTTTTCTTTGCATTTTTCTTTTAAAGTGCTATTTATGGGCCTTCCAGATTTATCATTAAACACATATTCCTATCCCTTGCGAATACGTGTTATATTGAATTATAATTTTCATTAGACACTGTTTGTATTCGGAAAAAAGTCAAA